TGTGGCCATAACTACTCTGTTACCAATGTCCTGAAGTAATTATATCTGCATTGTTGCAATAACGTTGTGTCTAAGTAAGTATGGGTGTATGTATGAATCTGGGTGTGGATATAATTATTATCTAATGTACGTTTGCAATTGTGTGCATTTGTGTGGATGTTTGTGTCTACTTTTAAAAATCTGCCGCAAAATCGTTCCCATAATAATACATTGCATGGCACCTATAATACAAACATAAAATATTACATATACAATCATACAAGAAGGAGGAATGGCTAGGAGAGAAGAAGTTGCTGGCTGGGGGGTGTTTGAGTGGTTAGGAGAGAGGTAAGGTGGCTGCCATGAAAAATGGACCAAAAGGCAAGTTTGAAAGGGGTTTTAAGAGGGAGAGTAGTTATTATGGGAAATTATGAAGTTTAAGTGACTAGAAGGAAGGCAATGTTGCTAGAAGAGAGGGGAAGCTCATAAAAGCTTAGTGGACTGACTAGGAGTCAAGTGGAGGGGCTAGATGAGAATGTAGTTTAGAATGGTCAGTAATGGACACTTCTAAAATAAAAGTTCTAAAATCTCTTAGGGTTAGATTTAGGCAGTGATTTTATATTTCAAAAAGTTATATTTACAATAATGTAAAGGGTTAGTGTTACAATAAGAATTATGATAGGCCGAATTAGTTTTTAACTCTCAAATTAATCCTAAATATTCTAAGTCCCAGTGCGGCAGTGCAGTATCTAAACCGTATCAGTAATTTTACTTACCATGCAGAACCTCACAGAGCAGCATGTTCAGCCAAAAAGATCCCAAGAGAAAAGAAGTTCCAATCATTGCTGAGGCAAGAGCTTTGCACTGGCAGCCTGTGCAATGCCATTCATTGTTCATAGTCAGTGCAACTGCACAACTTGGCTAACGTATAGACAACTTTAGCAGTGATCATAACAAATGGGTAAGATAACTAACAATAGCAAAATGGTCAAAAGTAATGTAGAAATAACCCAAGTACATAACCACTACAGTCTAGTTTAATGGTCATTATGGTGCCAGGAGTGTCTTGACTCCCTCTAAGAGAAAGTAGTCAAATAGTTTAGGAATGGCTTCACAGCATACCTGTGTCCCTCCAGGCACCCACCACTGCCTCTAGTGCTCCTGAATGCTCCTGCAAGGAGCTTCCAGTAAGCTCCATTGAACTAGGCCTGCTGTGAAAAGCATATTCTATGAATGCCCTACAAATTTTTTCTGTGTATATTTGGAATTCAGACAATGTTCCTGCCCTTGCAGTCCAGAAGCCCCTCTGCAGGTTATCATAGGAAAGCATACATTCCAGGAGAGTATCTGGAAGCGGTTTAAGCAGTAATTGTGCATTTTTATGTACAAAACACGCAGAGGAACAAGAGAATAAGGTTGAAGGCATACAGACAGAGACCAAGCAGGTCTGGGTCAAGGTTCTGTTGCAATTAGAAAAGCCAGAGGTCTGTTATCCAGAATATGTGTAAAGCAGCCAAGTGTTCACTGATTAAACTGCACAAAACCACTGAGCAATGAAAGCTGAGCTGTTCTGTTTTTATATAGTGTGCCTCCATACTGTGTGGATTGAAATGGAGAACTTGGGAGCAGGGCC